GTGATAGTAAAAAATTATTTTTCAATTAAGAACCCCCTCCCCCATTTTCAATTTTAATTACTCTGCAGATATTTTTTTTTTAAGAATTTTGATGTATCTAAATGAAAATTCGAAAGAGCAGTTTTTTAGTTATATAACTTTGTGTACTAATAAGAGCAAGGATAATATTCGGTAATGGGTTGAGTAGAAATGGGGAATTATAGATAATTTGAAAATTTTAGTAACTATACTATTGACCCATCAATATAAATAATTTGTAAAAATTATCCAAGTATAATATAAGTACTACCTACATATAATATTATAAATAGTCTGTTCTTTGTTGTAAAACCATTTTTAAGGGTCATTACTCATTACTCATTATTCTTCGTAAAACATTTTAATAATTATTAGAATTTTGAATTAGATACCTATCAAAATTTTCAAGAAAACCATTCACCGTTTAATTTTCAGTAAAAAGGGGGTTATCTCATTTGAAAAATAGAAGTGCGTGTAGTACAACAAGTATCAAGAATTTGAAAATATTGTTTTTCACGCATATTATACTTAATAACTGGAAAACATTTTATTTTAATAAATGTATACTATTAAAGGGAAATATGGGGGTGAACATGTTTAAAAATATTACCATGCATATAATACATAGTATAGGTATGACGTACGGCACAGCATACACTTTGGTCGAAATAAAACGATCGTTAAACCAAAACTGAAAATCGTTAGATATACGTTTTGTGAAATATCTGTTATACCTAGCTATAAATACCCTGCACCAACGTGACTTTTCCATTAGCAACAATTAACGGCAGATGGTCGCCTTGCATTTGTTTGCATGAAGGGACATTGACGCGCGCGGCCGAGTGCGGTAAATTCGGTGCACTACGCGTTGCATATAATATCGGCTGCACGCTGACACAAAAGATCGGAAATGAGGGTGCTGCAGTGTGCAAAAGGGTTGACAATCGATTGCATAACACAAAAAACACGTCCATCACGGTCGGCGGGGTGAACTCCAAAAAGAGAACGGTAATTATTATGATGTGCAAAAAAAAATAAATATATTTAGGTATACCAGAAATAATAACAGTGTATAGAAATAATAATAATGAAAAAAAATTTATTTGCGTATATGTCATATTCTGAATTTTTCACAATACACACGTCTGCTATCCGTCATATTCATTTGTTATATACCGTGCTTATAAATACATGGTATACAACGATATTATGGTAATGCGCATATACCTAATATATTATGTTTAAATGCGCGTATATTATTATGGCCTGCAACATTGTTGAAATGTGTATGGGTACCTAACTGCAAGTATAAAATATTATATTTAGCATTATATTATATTAATTTATATAGATGCAATAAAATAACAGTCTTATACACAAAAAAATCAACTGGTGACGAATTGCAATGGCGTTAACAATATGTTGCTGAGCGTACAAAAATACTGAAAACAGAAAATTTTTTTAATTGAAAATATTTTTTGTATCTATAATGATAACGAAAAAAAAAAACGATAAAAATTAATAAGATTGAAAAATACGATAATAAGTGACAAATTCTAAAACATAAAAAAATTGCACAAATATACTCAATGAAGACAAATTTGATAAAGATGAAAATACAATTATGTTTTTGCTTAATAGAAAATCAAAATAATATAACCAATGTTAGTAAAACTAAAAGTTATACCTAAACATGTCAAAAATATCTCAACAACTACGAAAATAGAATTTAAATATAAATAAAAGGAACATTACATACCTACCCCGTATTTTCAGTAATAATATCTTCTCATTCCTGTTATTTTCTTAAAATAATACAAATACTCCATCGTTAAAGTTTGTGTACTTCGAAGAAATAAAACTAAAATAACAATATTCTTCTACAGAAAATAAAATATTATCAAGTAATTATAATTTAATAATTATGATTTTTGAATTTTCCGTATAACATTTTCTATTAGTTTAAATTATAATTTGTACTGTTTGATAAAATACATATCGTAATTTATTTCGTTATTGGAATATTATAATTTTTTAAATGTATTTAATTTAAATGTATATGAACTAGAATATGTTGTGAGAACTATAATAATAATAGAACATTAGAACGGCCGAGTGTGTTTTGAGTAAACTTTTATTTAAAAACAGAATAGGAAATGGGCGTTATGGGATCGATTTCGTACTGTAAGTATACCTGAGACCGCGATATGTCTGTGCACGTATATGACGAAGAGTGAATATTATGTACATATTATATTATAGTAAATTATTTATTTATAATGATTATGTTTACCAATAGGCAATAGGGACTGGAAATATTTACCAAAAAGCGTAGTCGTTCTGCGCGGGTATCGAATAGGTATAGGTACTTATATATAATATAATGTATTATAATCTCAAGCTAAACGGCACGATAGGGTTAACTACTGTTTCGGGTTGGAATATAATATATTTTATTTTTTTTGGTTTTCGGCCCGCGACCCGTAGCGCCCAAAAGTGGACGCTCGTGACCAGGTTTTTGCGAGATCCGACCAAACTCCGGGCGGCGGCGGCATTATAATACTGCACGGTGTACTAATTATTGTTCACGTGAGCAACGCGCGCAACGGATTTAGAATACAAATTACTGGAATTAAACTAAGTGCACGGGCGGCGCAGATGCTGTTTTGCGATTCTATCCCTTGCTGGGGAACCATTAGCCCTTATTGTTGCCCGACAGAAACCGGTGTCTCCTTCATCCCCTAGCCGGTGTTTTTCTTTTCGTTTTTTTTTTCAGGACGCTTTAAACGAGCAAGAAAAGTCGCATGCTTAATATTATGTAAAACGAAGAAACACTCGAAGGGGTTTTCGCGGTATACATAGAGCGGTGAGCTGCAAAGCAAATTAATTCGTTCGATCATTATTTTTTTACCTCTTATAAAACGCGTCTATATATTATATAATTTCGATATACATATTATTCTGAAATATACAATATCACACTATGTGACACCCATTTTTCCTCCATTAAAATCAAAAATGTTCTATCAAAAATGGTTTCTGCGAGTTTTACAATAAATGCCTACCAATTGTAACGCAAGTGCTATCTCCCTCTGGATATTATTTAATTGAAAATTACAATGAACTATATAAAATTAACTTGTTTTAATTATAACTGCATGCCTATATCTACTTATATCGTACCAATAATATATGGGTACCTACATATTAACTAACTCGTGCGTGGGGTTAGAGAACCGCTGATGGGGACCTAACTTTAATCTCATAAAAAATAATACTGCACACGCATATTATACTTAAATAATAAACAATATTATGATTCTTAATTCGTCCGAGAATTGTAAGGAAAAAATCCAAATCAGATACTATTTTCATACTCTGGTTGTATAAATAAGTGAAATACAGCCAACATGTAATATGTTTCGCATCACCACCCTCCACCGTTCGCTTTTTCTTCTCATAACCGATTTTCCTTTTTTCAAACATACAATTTTTATGGCCAATTGTGGGTATATATACTTATAAGGTATATATTTTTTTCCGTTTCTTGTTTTCCATTCGGTCGGCAAAGTGCAGTTTGCATTTCTTATGAGTTTGTCGGCGAACGAACTCGCACGATATAAACCTTATAAATAATAAATATATTTTTATGTGCTTCGTGTACTTATACCTACCCCCAAATGGATATACTACCCTGAGTCTCGGGGTTATTATTATATATTGTTGTTCAGTTATAATTATTTGCTTTTGCAGGACGTTTCTGGTTTCGTAAAAAAAAAATGTTGACGTGCAACTTTACTTGGTTAATGTCCTCTTATATAATATATGAGTTGTACACTTGTTACGTGTCTATTCCGTACATATTATAGTTTAGTTTACCGCACGAATAGGTGGTACCGCTACTATATAATAATATTAGATATATATTGTAGTTAAATTACATTTTAATTAAAATTTCAGTTACTATCACATATTTTTTTTAATCATTCGAGATATTTGAAAACGACACGCGTGGGAATACCAGATTAATGAAACCAGTTTTCTTCCGACACGATTTCGTGAGACTTTTAAAAGGTGTACTTAATGAAGCCTAACGCGAGCGCGCGCGCGAGGAAGACTTTCGACGTTAAGTCGTACAAATCGTACGTGCCAGATAACTATCTCTAGGAGAAGATAATATAAAGAGTGAAATAATTTACTATATATATAGCGGCTAAATAGGATAACGCGTCAATAATATTGTTAGCCCGACTCACAAAGCACACGCACGCCGCACATGTACAATACAATACCTATATATAGCTAAATATTATATATTATATTATAATATAAAATGTACCGGTAACGTGCGAGGTGAGTCGGCGGGAGTGGATAAAATAGGAATAATAATCAATATAATATAGCTGCACTGATTGTAACGGATAATATATTATAAAAAAAATGTTTTAAAAAAAATATAAGATTATTTTCGTCAAAGAGCAATTAAAAAATCATCGGTAGGTAATTGTGTGTATATATAGCTATATAATATATAGTTGGTGTAATTATTATCGGTCAAGTCTCTCGATGTATTTAATATAGGCTCGCAATAAAGACCCAGCCATCGAGTTCTATAGAAAACTCGTTAGTGGATAACTAGTTTGCCGACATCTGAGCGGCGGCGGCATTGTTAACATATAAAATATATATATATAAATATATACGAGCACGAGCTTGAAACAAACATCGGTCGGCCCATACTCGCGATACACAGTAATAATAATATATTACGATGGCGTACACCGCAACGGCGGCGGCGGAGTATGTTATATGGAATAAGTTTAAAGTCTATTTAACTTCGCGATTAATGAACTTTCGACATGCCGCATATTACGGGTGTATTATACATATATATACACCGCAGCCGCATCGCCATCGTCGGAATACCGAGACGGTAATCGAACTATAAGTACGATAATAATATTTTTGTTTACTAGACTTACCCGGACAGATGGAAGTGCATTCGGCCTTATTCACGGCCGGCCCGGGGCAGGGTTTACCCCCATTCAGCGGCACTGGGTTGTTGCACACTCTTGTCCTTTTCTGTTGCCCTTTGCCGCACCGGGAACTGCATTCGGACCACTGCGACCACGGCGACCAGCCTCCGTTCACTGCGAAAAGAAATTTATAATAATATTATATACCACAGTAAACGAATCAATACCAGCAATACGAGCGCGGGTTTCATTTGCAATAATTTATATGAAATCGGATAGGCGTTGCAATATTGTATATACATATATATTATTCCATTCGTTTTAATAATCACGGTATACAAGGTACATGCTGCACAACCAGAGCACGTGACCGCTCGTCCCAAACACACACACACACACACATATATATATAATAATTTATTATATATATAACGATTTTGTGCTACGTCGAAATCGTGATAGCGAAATAAAAGCACTTATATCATATAGGTATATAATATAGCCATATAGGTACGCCGGGATGCACTGGTCGCCAGTGCAGGACGTGGTGGCCGGCGACCAGAGATCACGAACTTGTGATTTAGAGCACGTCGGTTTCGTGTCTCAATTGTGTACACACGCCAACCGGACAATAAATCGCGTTTTTCGAAAGAAAAAAATGTCCGCAGATCGGTCAAGACGATAATCCTACGTTAAAATATTATATTATTTTACGGCGGAGCACATAATAGAATAATATACGCGATATGTAACCGTGAAACACGGCCGATTCTTTCCGAAAATAATATGATAATAAAAACGACGTTTTATCCGACATTATCTGCTGCAGTACAGCGGTAGGTAGGTAATATTATGAATATATGTATAAGCGCGGCTGTTTCGGGTTTTTTTTTTCGTGTCCTGCACCGTCAAACCGAAATCCACGCACGGTGACGACTCATTTCATATACCTATATATTATAATACAGTATGGAAAAAAAATTGTGTCCACGCGACCATCTGTCAAGAACCCGTAAACCGTCTCGTGCGACCCATAAATCTCTCATCAGCCGAGTCGACGTCGCGATAATGCTGTCTGGCGCAATATTCTGTCTAACCTATACATAATAATAATTATACAACTATTGTGATGTTTGATTTTTGCAGTGATCATAAAAATAATGATGATATATATAGCCCTGTTTATATTATATAAATAGGTAGGTATATATATGTATTTTTTTTTTTTGATTTTTGACGAGTTGTGAACCTCCCCTCCCAGTTAAAAAAATTGCACGCAGTCGTTATTTTGTGTACCTAAGCTATAGTCGATAAGCTAAATGCGAATTATATAACATAATATATATACATGTATATACACCGAAACGCGTTTAAATATTTGCTATGTACACTCGCGCACTCGCGCATATACACAATGAAAAGCATACAACGTTCAACAAAATTAAACAATTAGAACTTTTTTTTTTTTATCCGCAAGACTCGAGTAAACAATTAAGGTAAACAACTACTTAAATGTTGAATATTTCATGAAAACGTAAATACTAAATAGACTGCTTTACGGCGTACTATGTACTATATATACCTACCTATATATATAATAATAACAATAATAATAATATGGTGTTTGTGTATATTATAATATATTGTTGTATTTCACTTTGTCTCAAGATTTCAGTAATATTTTATAGAACGTTTTTATTATGCAGTGAATTGTAATTGTCAACGGGGGCGACGACACGCATTAGCATAATAATATACACGCCGTTAATTTCGCCGCTCGAGTACGATTTTTTTTCTACTTGAAAACGCGCGGCCGTGTCTTATACTCACCCGTCGAAAGCCCGTAGAAAGCCGTTTAATTGTCGTGATGATAATATAATAAACAAACAAACAACAAACAAAACACACGTGACACGCGCGTGTGCAGACGTCGACGACTGGTGCGGCAGACAAATTCGTAAAAAATACAAACTGCAGCCATGTCAGGGGGGGAGGGGTGGTTGCAGACGGAAAAGCACGTAAACGCAATATTTTTCGGCCATATAATATATAATCGCGCTGCACATGATGTACAACTTATGCGATGTACGCGAGAAATAAAAGAACAACGATGTATATAGAGTCGTATCATAGTAGACGTTTTTTTCTTTTAAGTACTTAACTATACATATATACAGTACACTGTTGGACAAAACGAAATCGTGTATAGTCTATATACACCAGCGCAGTCAGAATAATATATATAATTTGACTCGCAACACGATTCACCGAGCGTTTCATTGTTGACGCGTACTGCACACGAATATGATGATGAGTATTATAATATGCCTATGCGTCGGATGTATACACGACAATATAACTTACTATACGAGTATATATTATAGAGGTACATTGAAGCTGGTTTGACGTATACGAGGGACTCGAGCGCTATGGGAGGAACACACGCACATATTATACTATAGGTACTATTATATTATTATGATTATTATTATTATTGTATAATCCAAACAGAGATTTCGTTTTTATATTTTGTACGAACGTATACTATATATGCGTAATAATAATAACAATAATAATAATATACATATGATGTCGTTATTGTCCGACAGACTCGTTCGAAACGGCTTGCAGGTGACGGGCTGCCTCGGAGTTCTCACATGATTGATATAAAATATAAAATAAAAAAATAACATACAATGATACGGGAAAAATAGAAAACTGGGCATTTGATAAAATGCCTGGACAATGTATGTATAGAATGCCCATTGCAAGTGGGCTATGTACAAATCATATATCAAATGCGGACTGGTAATTTTTTTTATACACAACGATCTAACGAGCAAATATGCCAAATAAGTTATACTTCGAGTTTTATTTAAAAATTAAAAATAATTAATTACAAACAGAAAAAAATGATTTACAAGTAGGTTGTATGTATATAAATAATATTTAAATTTAAAAAAAAAAGAATAATTTCATAATTTATTATTGCAATACACGGATTAGTTCCTCTAAGTTATTATTATCATCAGATAATTGTATTTATATTAATGTAAACTGTACATATTTAATTTACTTTTTTTCTTATTGAAAAAATTTCTGATATAAAATATACATTGTAATGTCAAAAAGGGCTATGCCCGTATAACTAATAAAAAATAAAAATTACATTTTTATATTCAAAGTCGTCCAGCTGCTTACTGCATTTCACTTAATTATTAAATGATGTATTTTCGGTCGTGAACCAACACTTACCATCGGGGTACTCAGCCAGCAGCCTCTTAGGGTAGGTTATTGACTACTTGTATAAACTTTGTTTTTGGTTGAACACGATTATACTATAATATTATAATTTGAGTAATAGATATATTTATGTTATATGTATATGTAAGCAGAACGAATGTAACAGACAATTTATTGGAAATTTGGAACTGTCAAGATTATAAAAATGGAGATAATAGCTGGTATATGATAGGTATATTATAATTGAGGGAATTTACAATCATAAATGTCTTGATAAGTGATATAGGTAGTGACTAGTGAATAAAAACTAGGCTACCACTATCGCCTATCCCATAAATATAATGCATTACCTACCTATAATAATAACTAATAAACTAAAATAGGAAACTAAACTCGAATCGAAGTTTAATTTTTTTTAAATAAATGCATAACTCAACAACATAATTTAGTTGCACGAATAGTTACCAATACATATATATATGAATATATTTTTTAAAGTATTCACATTACTCCCTATAAATCAGTCATTTTATAAATTAGATTTTAATGGAATGGCTGTATAGAGAATATATAAAATATTTAAATAATTATTCACATTGCCAAAAATAAGCCCCGATTTTTAGGCTGCCCGTCACATAACCATTTATTTATACGGCCCGGCTATATATATATACTCCTTGCCACGATACATATTTTGTTTCAGACCGGAATTCGGAATACGCATAATATAGTGGTAACAACAATATCGTGTTTCCCGCTCGAGAATAGTTTCGGAATCGAGTACATACCGATAACTATATTATAATATCATATTGGTAAACGTATCGTCAGTGCATCGAATTAGGTATTTGAAGTGTTTATAGTTTTAAACTGCAGCGCGACTGAGCGCGTGACCGGAGATCCGTAGTAACGGCTGGCGGACACACGCCGAATTATACTGCCGCCCGTCCCGGAGTGATAAGCAAAAGCGGTTTCCGGACAGACCGCATATTATTATACATAAAATAAAAATAATAATAATATAACACGAGAAGAAAAATTGTGATGCGCACGCCCGGTATGGACGAAGTTGATTAAAAACTAATTTTAACTGTCACTGCAGCAGTTGCGGGGCGGTACTATTATAATAATGCATTTCGAAGAGAGAAATCGTGAATTACATGGTAATTAAAATATTATATTAACGTTGGTGATTCCGAGGAAATATCTACCAGCTCATAAGCTAACCTCACAGATTTCTTTAATTTGATATTCAGCCATCTGAATGTAATAATATGTTTTATGTTTATTTAAAATATAAAAAATAACTCCTTCCAAAATCCGATGCCGCCCTTTCATTATAATAGCTACTATAGTTATAACTCGAATCGAAGGGGCGTGAGTTTTAATCTTAAAGATAATTAAGAACGTGATTAGTTTATATTTATATTAATTATACGCAAGGAAGAAAAATCAGAAAGAGCTGAAACGAAAACGAAAAAAACAACATGAGACGTGAGTAGGCGGCGTGGAATGACTTTCTGGTAAAGTTTAAAAAGCAAACAGAGCTCCGCGACTAACGTTTGAAACCAAGACGTGTTTGAAAGACATGGGCTGTTCAAACAGAGACCTAAACGAAACGACATAGTCGCGATAAAAATTGTGATTATTATTATACCATTCAAAACATTGCGTGTCCTCCTGAGTACATATTATATTATATTCTAGGTTAAGGGGTGTGTGATGACATTCAGGGGTGTATCTACGAACGAGAAAATATAGGAGAGGGGCTTGACACAAAATATGCTCCTTTAAAATAATCTTATAAATCATTAACTTACAAGGTGATACCACCTTGGTGAAAGCATCTACGAAAAACATTTTTGAGAGAAGAGCTTTTAGAATATCTTCGAGTGACTCAAATCTGGGCCATTTAAATGATAATTTCAATT